TAAGGGAAAGAATCATGCAATCTCTTTGGATCCCTCCTCTACTCATTCTACGATTATCATCATGCAATATTCAGTGCTTATTAATTGTGAGCCTTCATGCAAGGTAACCAAACTTATGCTTAACAAAAATTTATTTGCATGAATTCTTCGTCAGCTAGTTTGATCCCTATGAGCTCCCTTTTAATATTTTTCGGTAATATTATTACTAGGAATATTATTTTTGTATTTTAGATAAACAAATTCCATGTTATGGCAACTTTAGAAATAAGCAGGCAAATTTTACACTATTAATTGTTACTTTGTTAGAGGATGGTATTCTTCTTAAGATCTTGGTTCTTGGTTACTTCGTGTATTCATTTTATTTGCATATAATTATCAGTATAGAATAGAGATTAGACTTAGAAACCCTAGAGAAGCCTTTCATGTTTTCTCTTTTTGCTAAATTTCTTTTCTGCTGGAAATTAATCCATAAGATTATATATTAAAATTTTCATGAAAAAAATACGAAAAGGAAAATTAATATATGTCTAGATAAATTGACAATTATTATACCACAATTAAACAAGATATAGCAGATAACTTTTGTGGAAATATATTGGCCTGTAATTCTACAAAACTAAGTTTAATTAACATATTTAATTAACTACAAGCATACATTTGCACATAATTAACATGAGCATATCAAGTATCCAGTATCGTACGTCCTTGATTATCTCATCCTTGAGTAGATATTCATTTTAAATTTCATCCTTTTCTATTCCATGCTCTTACATAAATAAATAAAAAAAGACCAATGGATCGAATTTTTTCATGAAGATATTTTTGATACAGAATTACTAATACAAATGACATGATGAATTATATATGCACATGTCAATGATCTACGTTATATCGAGCTAGCAATCTCTTGAGCTTGAGGTGTGTTAGTTTTAGGTAGTGTACACTAGCTTGGTCAAATATATCTTACTTTCTTGAGCTAGTGTTGATGCAATGAATCAAGAGTCAAATACGTGCACATGCTGGCAACTATATTCGCACATGCATTTCCTTGCTCCCTCCCACTCCCTTTTTTTTTCTTTTTCTTTTTTTTTTTTTCCATAATGATATATGGATACCTTAATTTCATGAAGATTCTCGATTTCCCACAATAATTTGAAATCACAAAAATTAAATAGTACCCATATGCTCAATTATTTATGCATGGTCTTTTCACATTGATCTATCCTATGATTTTCATCACAAGAATGTCCTTATTTGTCCTCCAAATCGTTTGAACTCAAAGCGCATTATAAATTCTCTTGGCATGTGTATATATGCTACCTTCTCCATTAATATCAGATCAAGAGTTCAAATGAACTTGGATCCTTTCTACTATAAAAATAAGTAGTGAACAAACCACCACTTTTTAAACAATCAATGATTACCTAGTGTGTGATTATACTATAGTCTAAATCTAACACGTACTTATAATCCGAGACCCGTACTTAAAAGGGAAAAAAAAGTCATAATCACCGTCTATATATATCGTTAGTGGACATAATTAATTAATTAAATACTGGTCCGTCGGGTACGTTTGATATTAGAGATGATCGGAATCGGTGTTCAAATACATGTGCCGTCAAGGGGAAAAGGGAGAAAAAAGAAGGAAAAGTAGTGAAATTAAGCTTGGAGTTCGAGTCACAAGGGTCCCGTGAAATTTGGCTTACGTTAATGGGACCTAATTTCACAAGAGACGCTTTTGTAGTCTTCGAGACATCGCCCAGAGATTTGGTCAACATTCAAGCTAGAATATTAACATGTGAAGAAGTTAACTATATATCATATCATACTCCTTTTAAAAGCACGAGTTCCGAAAATCTTTTTTAGACAAATATACCCCTTTATAGTTTGAATCCATAGAAATGATTACCATGATACACCTAAAATTTTTGACATTTAAATTTAAATTTTTTAATTAACACCCTCAATATCTCAAAAATTATAGAAACACCTTCAAAAGTTCAAATTATAAAAAGCCACCCTAAAGTTCTAAAATTTGTAAATAACATAAGATGAATTCAAGATATTACCCTTAGACACCTGAAAAATTAAAATTTGCCGAAATTAACCTCAAAATTTTTAAAAAACTCCTTCAAAATTTAAAAATTGTAAAAAAAACTCTAAATTTTCAAAATTTTTAACTAGCGCACATCAAATTCGTCGATTGGTAGACCGCTGAAATTTAATATTTTTTAAAATTAATCTATAATTTTAATAATTACAAAAGACACCCTTAAAATTTTAGAGTTACAAGAAATATACTAACATTTAAAAAATTACCACCAACATATGAAACATATAATTTACAACTACCAAACTTAAAAGTAATTTTTTTTAAAAACTCTTTCAAAATTTTAAAAATTACAAATCACACCCTCAAAGTTTAAAACCACAAAAATGGGCTAAAATTTTAAAACTTGGCAAAAAAAAGTGTAATTGTTTGGTATTTTTCATATATATATATATATATATATATATATATATTAAAATTTCTAATTTAGGGATTTACTATCCATTTTCAGCATCTAAGAATAGTCTAAGTTGATACTGGTAAACAAAAACAATAAGAATTGATTAAAAACATCCGGTTAATGGATAAAATTTTTAAAAATATTATAGATTAAAAATTATCGGCACTATATAAATTAAAGTAATTTCATATAATTTTAGTAATAAGTTGGGGTAGCCAAAATACATTCGTAACATTAATTGATAGATGTTTAAATCCATAGAAATGATAAAACACTATAATATTATACCTTAGCATTAATTGATTTTAATTTAGAAACTTTAATCTTTGACGTTAATAATATTTATAGGGTAAAAGAATACAAGGAATTACATATGGAGAAACTATTAGAATATTTAGAGATAACTTTAAAAGAATTGAGTTATTTCCATTGCAAATGGGAAAGTGATGGAAATAAATCTAAAATTCAGAAAACGTCAATGAATCACTTGAATTGGCATTAACATAAGACATATCTATTAATGAAGCACTGAATGAGTTACATTAAAAAATAATTTAATAACTTTATCCTAATCAAAGAAAAAATCTCCATGGAAGACATAAGAAAAATTAGTAAGTATTCATAAATTCCATACTGTGTTCTTCAAATTAAATATTAATATTATAATCTAAGAGAAATTGGTAATGAATAATGCAGGTATTTAGTTTAGATCTTTATGGAAAATGACAGGGATAGAGCAAAGGTAATATTATTGAAATAACAAAAATTCTTATTGGATACACATCAGAAGAATTCATTTTAGAGGAAAATAAAGAGATAGCTTCTAATTTATTTAAGTAATAAATTAGGAACACAAATAATTTTATATATATATATGAAATTAATATTTATTCTCATTGAAATAGAAAAAAATAATCAAAGTCTATATTTTGAGCAGTTTGTGTTGAACATCATAAGTACATTTGACTTCTTTGTAAAGTTAAATGAGATGATAAAAAATTAACGAGCCCAGGAAAGATAATAGCATAAAAAATACAAAATTAGCCTGATGTCATAATTGATGTAGATGATGAAGACAATACTCTAGAATTACCCGAGAAATGATAAATGATAAACCTGAAGAAGGATTGATCTTAACTCATTAAAAAATAAAATAGAAGAAATAAAAAATAATATTTTCTAAATATTTTATAGAATAGTTTAATTATTTTGAGTGAAATTAGGAATCTTTAGAAGGGAGTTTCATAAAATTTTTTTAGTACTTTTATATTCCTATGTAGATGTTTTTATCATATAAAAGTATACCAGAGTTAGCATTAATCTTTAATTTATATTTTTTTTATGAAGTCTATCAATGATTAGGAATAAACTTCATATTCTCTTTTGCATCGTTTTAACATACTTTAAATCAATCATTTTGCCATATTGATTTTAAATATTCACCTTCTTTGTATAACACTATTTTAATATTTTTCACTTTGCATTGCTATACTTTCTCAAATAAAGCTTAGTTTCATATTGATCAAAAATAATATGAAAATTTAAATTATTTTTAAATTATATTTGTTTTTTGTCAATTCAAATATCAACATGAAAATTTAAATTGGGTGTATCCCATTTAAACAAACATAAAAAAAATAATTGGGATGTAAGAGTTTAAAGAAAAAAATAAGCACAAACTGTCAAAAATACTTAATCATGGTATTAAATCACGTGCATTGCACGTGTGTAAAAACTAGTATATATATATATATATATGATGACTTGTTATTCTTCAGTTCATACGTACGTATGGCTGCCCGCTGTGATCAAATAGCTATAGGGAATTAACATACCCCATTATTTATGCAGAGGCATTTAATTCCTTCGGATAATAAAAATGCGCATACATTCATTTCCTGTATTACGTACGACGGTTTACGTACTGACGAATCATTCATGTTATTGTTAGAGGATAATGCATGAAATTAATGCAAAATAAAAACAACAGTTGGTGATCGATATGCTTTTGGTCAAGAATATTTATCAAATGCGTATCATCAAATATTGCAGAGACTGATGATGTTTGATCGAAGATTGGGAAAACGAGTTTCTTAATTTCTTTCTTTCTTTTTATAAAAAATTACCACGATTGATGTTCTGCATCCATTCAGTCAATTGTGTGAGAACGTAATTGCTACGGGCAAAACTAGCTATGAGATGTGATTGTATGTATTCTTATTGAAAAATAATTAGATGGATATATGGTCAAATATGTTCACCGTTAACAAGAGTTGGCATTTTTAAGCAAATAAGGCCCTTGGTAGTATCCTAACAAATAACGTATCACAGAAAGAGACATCTTGCGCATGAATTAATGTTGAAATATATATCCAAACAAATAAAAAAATGAGATCAATTTATGGATAAATCAGTACTTACGGAAGAGAATACACATGACATTCATCTAAAGCATCATGAATATTAATAAAAATTTTAAAACTGTTTTTTTTAAATCATTAATATTCATATAATTACAATAATACATATCATGTATAAACATTGTGCATCATAATTGAAAATAACCAATATTGGGACTTAAGCAATCACGTCATTGTCATCCTGCTCAGGATCCGCACCATCTCCATCATCAATAGCAGGAGCCTCGGAAGCACTATCATCTTCTGCTGAGTCCAACGGGCTGCTAATTGGTTTGTTGGTCGGAGTGTCCAATGGGCTGTCAGTTGGGCTGGCTTTCAGGGAGGCCAACGTGCTAGCTTTAGGGCTTTCTTTTGGAGGACCCGATGGGCTGCCAATTGAGCTTGCTTTGGGAGAGCCTAATGAGCTCTCAGTTGGACTGGCCTTAGGAGAGCCCATTGGGTTGTATTTTGGGCTTGCGTTTGGAGAACCTATTGGACTAGAGACCGGACTATTAGTAGGCCCAGAAGCTGCACCGAACTGGCGGGCCTGGCAAAGTTCAGGAAGAGGTGTTCCTGTTTACATAACATAATTAGATCCACTGCTAACATAAAAAAATTAAGTACATTTAAATGCATATTATGTAATCTACTTTATATTTGTTAATGAAATGTTATAGAACTATCTTCTTCTGAAAGAACGATTAGAAATTGAAAAGAATTAGATGATTTGTTACAAAATGGTTCATTCAAACCATTAGAAAAGAGATTTGCAAATTATTTAACCATGTGCAATGGGCGTGTATAAAAACTAGTAAAGAATCAAACACGAAGGTCTCCTTTGACTTATTAGATTACATAATTCGCACTCAATTTAAACATAAACAAAAAATTGAAAAACGAAACAAAATAAGGCATAATTATTTAACAAAATAAACCGAAAACAAACCAAATTTGCTCTACCTTCAGCAGCAGCAAGATTGTAATAGAGATCAATAATGTTGGCGCAACGCTGGAAGCACTCAGGCGAGCACAATCTATCCAGAAACCGAAGCTCCGTAAGCAAATCCGACGAGATTCCCACCGAGTTGCGGTCCACCCCGCAACTGTTGATGCACTCGTCGGTCTCGACGTGAGCGGAGATTCGCGCGACGCCGATGTCTGAGGTCCCGCACTCGTACTCTGTCTGCGCACCGACGCCTCGGTAGCTCTCCAGTATGCATCGTTTGGACGATGAGGAGACGGCGAACGCGCACTGGTTTTTTGGTAAATTCTCGCAGATTACGTCAGCAGCAGCTGTAACGCACAAAATTTATATATACGTAACTAACTAACCGCTAAAAGATCACAAGTCACGGTAGATAAAAATGGATCCGTAATTGGGATTCATAAATGCACAAACCGAGGGCTGACGGAAGGAGGAGAGAGAGGGAGACGAGGAGGAGGGGGGAGGGCATCATGCAAAATTTTGAGGGGAGCCGAGGTGCGGAATGATCTCGTTCGTTCTCCTAATCTCTTTTATCCCGAATTGTTTTTGTTTGTTGGGTGTCGGAAATTTTCGAGGGCTAAAAGCGGGTGTTTGTTGTGGAAACTAATGAGCAACGGAGGATCAGAGGTTTGATTAATATAGCGCGTGCGGTTTATAGGGAGGAGAGCGGTCAGAGAACCTGGGCTATTTTTGGGCGGTTGATATATAGCAGTTTGCATCCAGCTTAGAAATTGATCGATGATCTTTGTAATTCGTAACCATTAACTATATTTTGCAACGGTTGTTGTGACAATAGGTGGAAGTTTTCTGAACATCAATCTGTCGCCGTAACAGGCTTTTTAGGTCGTAAGTTTAGAGCTCCGCTCTTGTTGTCTGCTGCCAAAATAGGTATCCATCAGTAATATTGAAGATGTGTAATTAACACCTTGTTAATAACTTGTTAATAACTACTTCGCATCTTTTTTATCGGCTGATATTGGTTTAACAAATTGTTAAAGAGTTGCCGCATTTTCTGGGAAATACATTGCGGTAATAACGAAGGGGAAAAGCCGCAAAACACAAATTTGCATCCAGGCTCGATAAAGTCTGCACAGCTGCAGAATGACTGTTCAAGTTGTTATTCAAGTAGAAGTATAAGATTGTAATAAGCAGAAAAAATCCAGGTTAAACCTGACTGCTACTCTGATTCCTGTATATATTTAAACAGCGGCAAAACATTTAAGACCGGACGCAATGGAAAATTTAGCAAGCTTCGGACACGAACTAACTTGTTTCTGCACATAAACGCCAGCACCTTATAAGAACTCAAATAGAAATCAGCAGATAATACTATATCCACCGAAACAAAAATATCAGAATATAAAGACTTCAGCAAAACACTTTGCCATTCGGAAGAAATAATTAAAAGCTGAGAACAAAAAGTCAGTATCACTTCTAGCAATGATAACTTCCAGAAGGAAAAAAAAAAAAATAGAATCAGAAATGAGAATTCCCTGAAATAAAGAAACAGATTCAGAAAGTGAATAACATTCCAACATAAGGAAATTTTTCAAAATGACGAAAAGCAGTAACCAATTTCTCATTCCCAATCCAGAACAAATCCAAATACTTGTGCCAATTTCAACGCATATTTGCCACACCCAGCCAACAGTCTAGCTCAAAAACATAACCACAAGAAACTAAAAACTGCCAGTACTAGACCACTACCAATCATACAACAGTACTTAATTGAAACGAAGTTACACCTAAAGTCATGTCATTCAGTTACAGCATAAACCGGCAACTGGAAGTTGCAGCCACACTGTTTTGGTTGAGTTACTGCTCATACGTCTCTTCTTCACCCTCTTCATCTTCGTACTCTTCTTCATCAGCAGTAGCCTCCTGGTATTGCTGGTACTCGGAAACCAAATCATTCATGTTGCTCTCGGCCTCAGTGAACTCCATCTCATCCATCCCTTCCCCTGTGTACCAATGCAAGAAAGCCTTCCTCCTGAACATAGCAGTGAACTGCTCGCTGACTCTCCTGAACATTTCCTGAATCGAAGTCGAGTTCCCAATGAAGGTAGAAGCCATCTTCAAGCCGGTGGGGGGAATATCACAAACAGTAGACTTGACATTGTTGGGGATCCACTCAACAAAGTATGAAGAGTTCTTGTTCTGCACATTGATCATCTGTTCATCTACTTCTTTGGTGCTCATCTTGCCTCTGAACATGGCAGATGCAGTAAGGTACCTCCCGTGCCTTGGGTCAGCAGCACACATCATGTTCTTTGCATCCCACATTTGCTGGGTGAGCTCGGGGACTGTGAGGGCACGGTATTGCTGGGACCCACGGGAGGTCAAGGGAGCAAAACCCACCATGAAGAAATGAAGACGAGGGAAGGGGATCAGATTAACAGCCAGCTTCCGGAGATCAGAGTTAAGCTGACCAGGGAACCTCAGGCAGCAGGTTACACCAGACATTGTTGCAGATATCAGGTGGTTCAAGTCTCCAACTGTTGATGAACAACAACATGAAGTTAAGTGCTATAACAACAAAGTAAGAGAAGTGATGGATGTGAAGGGGGGTTTTGTTGCTTACAGCTGGGTGTGGTGAGCTTGAGAGTTCTGAAGCAAATGTCATAAAGAGCTTCATTGTCGAGGACCATACACTCGTCAGCATTCTCAACAAGTTGGTGAACTGATAATGTTGCATTGTAAGGCTCAACAACCGTATCTGAGACCTTGGGAGAGGGGAAGACGGAGAAGGTGAGCATCATTCTATCGGGGTACTCTTCTCTGATCTTGGAGATCAGCAGGGTTCCCATTCCCGAACCTGTTCCTCCTCCAAGGGAGTGGCAGACTTGGAACCCTAAACTTTTTTTTTAGAATGAAGTTTTAATTAGTATAAGCAGAATAAAAGTAAACATGTATTCAGCTCGTTGGCATCGAACAGCTTTCCACAATTTAAACTAAATAAAACCCCACTAAAATTGTTGAAAGTTACATACAAAAGCTGAACTAAAAGAGGTACAATATTAAACATGAAGGAGCTGAAGGACTCCAATAAAAAAAGAGCAGATTTGTATACCATAGACGCAAAGCTACAGATCTCTAGGTATGTTAGTTCAAAATCATAAAACACAATATAATTTATGATATCATACACCTAATTATTTAAAGTACAAAACTGCATACGTAGACCCTTAACAACATCATAAAATAAGATCAAAAGCTAGGTATGTCAGTGAACAACGCATCAACATCTTGAGACAAACTATTCCAAAATTGCTACAGCTAACATGAACGGATCAAAACCTTGTAAACTAGTAAAACATTAGATAACAATGAACCATATCAAAATCGCTACATCAACACCCTGCCGCTCTCCTGAAACGTGTAGTGATAATGTAACGAACTGTTTGCTAAATAACGACAGGTCAAACTAAAATCCAATAAACTTGAAATATGAAACAACATGATCAAACATCTTAAGAGAGAGTACTCAAAGATCTATTAAAAAAACAATTCATTTAAGATTAGCTACTCAAACACCTCCAGATCTAAGCACTACGCACCAAAAACTGTAGATCCAGTTTTTAGGTATTAGGTTTGGACAAATTTTTAAAACCAACTCCTTTACACTTTTATTTGCAAAAAACGACCCGTTTCCAAAAAAAAAAAAAAAAAATTCAAAATCGACCTGGTTTCAGCCCTGGCGCTGAAACCAGGTTGGTTTTTGAAATTTTTTATCCGAAACTTCACGGGAGTTCAACTCCCGTGAACTTTAGCATATTTTTGAACTTCACGGGAGTTCAACTCCTGTGAAGTTTAATTTCTTAAATAAACTTCGGGAGTTGAACTCCCGTGAAGTTTTTTAAGTTGAACAAACTTCACGGGAGTTCAACTCCCGTGAAGTCTGTTGGGAGAGCAAAAACTCCACGGGAGTTGAACTCCCGTGGAGTTACAGTCCCCAATTGCCAGAGATCGATTCTCTGGCAGTTTTCACCTGCAACTCCACGGGAGTTGAACTCCCGTGGAGTTTTGGCCTGCCTACCTCGACCGCCAGTCCCTATCCCGCCGGAGTTGATCGCTCTCGCCGTCGTTGTCGCCGGAGTTCACCGTATATTAGGGCATCGACAAATTGTAGGTAAATTCATCTAATTTTTTTTCTTTATTTCTTGTATATTCGCACTATTTCGTGGTGATCTCATGTAAAAAAAATTATATTTTAGAAATTAATTGTGGATTGTTTATGATTTTTGTGAAGAAAATTTAAATAATTTAGTGGATTTAGAGGGGGAATTGTCAAAAATGTAAAAAATTAGTGTTACTACATATTTAGGAATATCAATATATGAATTTGGGTAAAATTATGGTTTTCTAAAATTGATATAGGATTTAATGGTAAGTAACAGTTAATTTCTAAAGTTTTTTTGTGTAATATTTATCTTGAATGTTTTACTCTTCAGAGATAATGATGAACGATCGAATAGTAATTTTGTGTTCGTATGATGGGAAGATTAACTATCTCAAAAATAATATGCCCGTTTATGAAGGAGGTGCGACGAGACCGTTGTTTATAACAAAATCATGTACCTTCGATGAGTTGGTTAATGAATTACACAAACTTACATTAACCAACTCACGTGAATATCACCTCAATGTTATTTGCAATTATCCTGTTATGAAGAACAGAACAAGTGACTATGATATGGATCTCATTGGAGTCTTACGCGACGAGAAGCGTTCTGTCGAATTATTCATTGAAAAACATCAGAGGAATTTGGACAAATCGTTGAATAACAACGGAATGTACTCCCGCATGTTGAAGGACCTTGAAGTTGATTCCGTCGGCTTTTTATCTCCTCAACAAGATGAAGGTTAGACACAATCACAATACATGAGCGGTCCTTCATTTGTGGGCACTTCAAATGCTTTCGATACTAACATGGGAGTTCAAGAAGATAATGCAAATGTCGAATCCGAGAATAATGATGAAGAAGACGGCTTACAAATTAATAGCATGACGTTGATAGATCGTGATGAAGGGGACAACCAACACATTAACGGATGTTATACTAATAATGAGTATGTCATCTTAGAGGATCCGTCGCCCGATGAACTTCAAGAAGAAGAATGGATTGATAACTCCATGATGAAAAGTGTTCCTATTAGCACTAATAGCGGTGATAATACACAGGACGATGACTTCTCATTCATGAAGGGAGATCTTTATGAAAGTAAGGAGAAATTGATCCATGCGCTTCGCTTGTATGTCATTGTAAAAAATGTCAAGTTTAGACCAATAAAAAATAACACAACAAGCTATAATGCGGTTTGTTTTTATCGCAAAGATGATGAAGACGAAGATCTTGGTGGACACCATGACGGGAATGCGAATTGTCCTTGGAAGCTTAATTCACGTTCAGGTGTAAGAGTAGGTGGGCAGAGACCAACACCTTTCACATGCGAATTTTCTAACTTTTATGAATTTTCAAATACTATACTTTTTTGGATTTGATATTGCTTATATATGTACTATTTGTGAGTATTGTTTGATTCGTGCTCTATTTTGCATTTTGGTTGAATTATGTATATAGTGTTGAGATTCAGTGTATATGAGCTCAATTATTGTTAACAGGCTCTTTGTGAGTATTGTTCGTGCTCCATTTCGGTTGAATTATTGATTCATATTGTTGTAATTCATTGTATATGAGATCAATTATTGTTAACAGGAAAATATAAACTTGTATCAATGTAGAATTGTGTGAATTCATTGTATATGAGATCAATTATTGTTAACAGGAAAATATAAACTTGTATCAATGTAGAATTGTGTGCACAGTTACAATTCTAGCTCTTTTCAGGTTTCTGGAAATGAGCATGTAACTCCACGGGAGTTCAACTCCCGTGGAGTTTTTGCTCTCCCAACAGACTTCACGAGAGTTGTACTCCCGTGGGAGTTGAACTCCCATGAAGTTTGTTCAACTTAAAAAACTTCACGGGAGTTCAACTCCCGTGAAGTTTATTCAAGAAATTAAACTTCACGGGAGTTCAACTCCCGTGAAGTTTAAAAATATGCTAAACTTCACGGGAGTTGAATTCACGGGAGTTGAACTCCCGTGAAGTTTCGGATAAAAATTTTCAAAAATCGACCTGTTTCAGCGCCAGGGTTGAAACCAGGTCGGTTTTTGAAATTTTTTTTTGAAACGGGTCGTTTTTTACAAATAAAAGTGTAAAGGGGTTGGTTTTGAAAATTCCTCCTATTAGGCTTTAGTCTTCACCCTACAACTCCTAGGTTTTCTTCCTGAAATAATACGTACTAAGATCCAGCAGATCTAGATAAAAACATAACACACTAAAATCAACATATTAAGGTTAGCACACGTCAAAATTTTAGTGAATAGCTACTCAAAAATTATCTAGAACAGCATATCTCATGTATCTGCTCATATACAGGAAAAACCGCAGTACAACATTAATTATTTAATGATTCGCTACAAGAACACTTGCAGATCTAAGCATCAAACAGCAAAAACTCTACAGATCTAGTGAATGAGAGCATTATACCTTGCAAACAGTCACAATTCTCGGCCTCCTTCCTCACAACATCAAGAACCGAATCAATTAACTCCGCCCCCTCGGTGTAGTGCCCCTTGGCCCAGTTATTTCCCGCTCCGCTCTGCCCAAACACGAAGTTATCGGGCCTAAAGATCTGGCCGTAGGGCCCAGATCTGATCGAGTCCATCGTCCCCGGCTCCAGATCCATTAGAACAGCGCGAGGAACGAAGCGGCCGCAGCTCGCCTCGTTGTAGTAGACGTTGATCCGCTCAAGCTGCAGATCTGAGTCGCCGGTGTATCGGCCGGTGGAATCGATGCCGTGCTCTGCGCATACGACCTCCCAGAACTTGGCACCGATCTGGTTGCCGCATTGGCCGCCTTGGATGTGAAGGATCTCTCTCATTTTTCTCGAAGAACTTGGATTAGGGTTAGGGTTAGGGTTTTTTAAGGAGGACAGAGAGAGAATTTGGGCGAGCGAGGGGGAAGAGTGAGGGGTTGTTTGGTTATAGAAAATTTTTGTTTTGACACAGTAGAAGTTTCATAAATAATTTTTTTCACTATTTCAATAAATTGTGTTTGGTTCAACCTTTAACCGTACAAAAAAATTTCGGTAAAATACAAAAAACTGTACAAATTTACAAAAAAAATATTTTCCACTAATATAAAAAAGTGAAAAACACTCATAAATATGACACACCCATTATAATATTATTTAACTTACCCGTACCCATATTTTCACTGCCCCAATTGAGCGGAAAACATTTCTTTTGGCCACCATAAGTCGGAAAAATCCTAGAGCATCCTCATTCGTACCCGCCCCCAAATTCATTCTCCCGCTTCAACTCTTCGTTCGTCGACGTTCTAGGGCTTCGCCCTTCGTTCCCGCCCCCAAACCAGTCTTGAGCGATTGAGGTTTCCTTACATCGAGCTCTCGTCGATGGTTATCCCCGCCCCCAAACTCATTCCATCCTCCTTCGTTCGTCGTCGGCGTTCTAGGGCTTCACCCTTTGTTCCCGCCCCCAAATATGATTCCAGGGCTCGAAATTTCCTTACCTCGAGCTCTCGTCCTCGGTGTTCTTAGTGTTACTTTGGGTTCCTCGGCGTTCCTCGGTTATTTGAGGCTATTGAGGCATAAAAATAAACCTCTAAACCCCCCTTTTTTATCCTTGATTATTCTGTTAATTTTTCAATTGTGGAATTTGATTTTTTTAGTCGATTACTTTGGGTTGATACTTGTGCTCGTTGTCGAGCTGTTGCGGCTGTTTTTGTTACAAATCTGATTTTGAGCTTGTTTAGCTCTATGTTGTGGATTTTTGGGTTGATACTTGTGCTCGATGTCGAGCTGTTGCGGCTGTTTTTTTGTTACAAATCTGATTTTGAGCTTGTTTAACTCTATGTTGTGGACTTTTGGGTTGATACTTGTGCTCGTTGTCGAGCTGTTGCAGCTGGTTTTTTTGTTACAAATCTGATTTTGAGCTTGTTTAGCTCTATGTTGTGTACTTTTGGGTTGATACTTGTGCTCGATGTCGAGCTGTTGCGACTGTTCTTTTTTTTCTGTTACAAATATGATTTTGAGCTTGTTTAGCTCTATGTTGAGTTCTTGCTTTTGGCAATGATGAAGATCAATTAAATAAGATTGCAAACTAATTTACAGTGTTCATAATAAGATAAGGCGTTCTTTACTACGTTATTGGAACGCAATCTACGTGAACTTGTACGTTTCAGTTGAGGCAATCAATTTTGATAAAACACCATTAGCTAAGCCAAATTTCTTCATGAAAATATCAAACTAATATTAATTCTTCATATGTTGGTTTATGTGGTATTTTCCGAGCATGCTGATTACAAAAAAGAAAAAATAGACTCTGTCATTCGAAAAATATTAATAGAATTTGTAGATTTTCCTAACCAAAATACATACATTTGTATTTGATGAACTTGATGAGTCACCGCGGTCTCTAACACTCTTACTCATGCTTTTCAATTGTGAAAATTTTGTGTTCATGGATGGTTAAGAATAGAATGATTTTATAAGAGTCGAGAATACAAAACTAGTCGTTAAACTAGCCGTTATAAAGTGATAAATATGGTAGTTGACACTTTTCTATAAATTTGGCATATGTAACCAACAAAAGAAAAGGAAAACTTGACATTTCTATAAAGTAATAGGCCCCATTTTCTTGTTTTGAACCAAACAAGCAAAATACAAAAAACAAGAAAACTTGTACTTTTGAGAACTCAAAACTTTTCCTATAATCTTTTTAAGAAATACAAGGAACTCTATCTTTTTGAGATTCTGCGTGAAAATAGAGGGCTGAGATTTTGCTTGGGAAAAGGTGGGAGGAGCAACGGTTTGATGAGAGAGAAATTTTGAATTTTGAATTGGGAATGAGTGCGTCGCACGTGGGAGCGAAAATGACGAAAATGGGTAAGTGGGGTAAGTGTGTGTTTGGTTCAATAGTGAGAAAGAATAGGATTAGGAAAATGATGTTTTTTATTAATTCCTACCTAATCTATAACAAAATTAAGGACAATTTTATGTTGTCATGGAATATTGTGGAATCTTATTTTTTACATTTCTATGTTTGTTTCATAACATGAAAATATAGAATTCAACTTTATAGAAACTCTCTAATTCCTATTCTTTAGTTTGGTTTGGAATGAGAAAATTTTAGGATAAATGGTGAGAACATCTTAGATATTCTTACCACTCACTAGTGAACAAAATATTTAAGTAAGAAGTTTAGGTAATCTTACTAGTTTACCAAAATTCAAAACCGAAAAAAACACTATAGCAACAACTAGTTCTAAGGTCTTAGAGGCTATAAATGTGGATTGAGGGCTCATGGTGCCAATGTATCCCTCATTCTTGCCACTTTTTTAAAATTCTCATAGTTTGTAAGTTTCCTCCCCTCCAACAATATGATATCAAAAGAATACCCTAAAATTTTAAAGTTTGGTGTGATTGCAATCTCCAAACACCCATAAAAGTGTGCAAGAATGGTAAAAATAAGGGGAGATATTATTGGGGGTGTGCAAAATACCCAAATAAAGAATGCATTTTTTTAATAGGCTCATGAAGGAGGAGAAATAAGCAACTAAGGAAACCAATTTGTCAAAGAAAATAGGTTTGGAGATAAGTATTTTTTGAAATCAAAGAGGCTGAAGAAAGAATTGAAACTTGTCAAAAAACAACTACTAGCTTGGGAATTTTCAGCAATTTTACTAGTGGTATTTTGTATTATTTTAATTATTATAAACCGCATGTCATGTACTTGTGTTTGCAAAAACTATTGATATTGTAATGAAATTTTTTATAGGAATTGAGTAAACTATCATTAAAAATCTAGTTGATATTGTACGACTCAGGAATATGTCATTTTGTCAAAATTGAATGCCCCACCTATAACTTACAGGGTTATTGTAGATTGCATTCTAATGATGGATTGCCTCACCTAAACATTGTCATTTCAATGTAGGATGCAATCTCATCACATATTGCCTCATTTGAACATAATAAATGCCGTAAGTTAAATTGCATTCTTAGTAAACGCTAATCATCATTGCTAAATATCAACTATGGAGCATCATAAGCTCCAGCAATTTATCAACTGACAGCAACAAAACCGCACAAAACGAGCAACACAAGCTCATGTATGATCATCAAAACCGACAGTAACATAGCCAAACCAAAGGAGCTTCACAAGCTCCATCCGATAGCAACAAAATCAAAGGAGCTTAGCACGCATTCTCAGAAGACAAGTTATTATAGTGATCACGAAAGAAACATATGTATTAGCACACATCCTCTTTAATTGTTCTTCATCTACGGTATCCATCTACATCCATTGTAAAATTAGCATACATCTAGAACTTAATATTTCCACTTATTCCAGATTAAAAATAATTAAATAACTAATACATATAATAAAATTTTAAAACAAAATATCTAAATATCCACAAATCTATTTTCAAATGAAACAACCAATTCATATATTGCAATCTTAAAACGAAATTACTAATTCATATATTAAATAACCAATTTATAATCATCCATGATCAACTGTGATAAATAACCGAAGCAATGAAGCTCTAAATTATCAAACATCCACTACAAAATCAACTATGACAAATAACCATCCATGATCATAAATTAATTTTTGTAAAAAACGAGTTATAGATTTATATCTTCAACTACCAAGGGGGTAATTCAAGGCTGAAAATCGAAGCAACAAACCAAAGCTACCAACCGAGAAATCGAAGCTCGAAATCAAACCCACCGAACCCACCGACAACAACTCACCGAAGCAACAAGATCGAAGAAAGGAGCTCGAAATCAAAGATTAATTTTTTGGGATCAAACCTCGAAATCGAAGAAATGAGCTCAAGATCGAAGCTGAAAACTAAAGCAACAAACCCAACTGACAGCAACCCACTGAACCCACCGACAGAAATTGAAGCCAACAATCGACAATAGAGTTCGATCCAGAGCCTCGTCTTTGAAAAAGAAATCGAAGAACGATTCGAGAAGAGGCGCGAAGATGATTGAGAAGAGGCGAGAGATGATTAGCAGGAGAAGGACGAAAACCAGATTTAGGGTTTGTGAAGAGGCGGGTTACGAAAAACAAAGAGAAAGGGAATAGGAATAGGTATGGGGATGTGTCAGTTTTTTCACCAAATTCCAGCCAAACCCATTGGATTTGGATTTCCATAAAACCCCTCATATTTTCCAACTTTATAGATTTTGAAATCTATAAAATTGTTATGAACCAAACTAAGGAATAGGATATATAAAGAAACCTTTATTTACAGTGATGCTCCGGTCAGATCCAATTCCTATTCCATAAAAAGAGTGAAACAAACACACCCTAAGTGAAAGAGGTAAATAAAATAAGGCAAGTTTGTTAATTATGATGCGTAATGACAGAGTTAAAGATGAAACGGGAATTGCGATTTTGTCGGAGAAGGGGGTCACGTGCTTCTGCACCTTGGAGGAAACAGTTGGAATTCTTATTGGTCTTTATCTCTGCGCTCACTTGTGCCCGCTTGCTGAATGCATGAAGAACTGAAGCATACAGTGTTTTCGTAGTCGAAAGTTTAAGCTTGCTTGACTGAATGCGTGAAGAATAACCCTTTCTTGCACCAAAATTGGGCATTCTATCAAGCATCAAGGTAACTCAACCACTTCCAAATCACTAAGAATAAAGTTTGAGATACTTCTATCAAAGGATCAAGAACAGGGGTTTGTAATAAAACTGATCGCTTATAAACCTATGGCATATCAAAGTCGAGCAAAATAAACATAGACGACAGTAGGAAGTAAAGAACAGTAGAAAACTAGGATGCAAAAAAGGACTGTACGCATGTTTATCTGCCTTTTTGCATATAATACCCCTTTTACAAGACATTGCTAATCACGGGCGTGACAGTACATGCTATAAAAACGAGAACCGCACTAGAAAGCAGGAAGTCGTCGCATAGTATTAAAACAATCAATATAAATGTGGTAACACATAACATTTTAAGATTCCAACAAAGCAACCTGTGTAAATTTATTCACCCATATGAAAGATTACATCACAAAGTTGATAAAGCCCACAAAAACAGTGTAATAAAGGGGCATATTTCCTGGAAAAATAGATTCATGGCTTGCAGAATATTTATGCCTTGTCATTCGAAACTGAGAACATAGTCAAACGACTAAAACCTTCAGTACAACAGTATACATTCATAAGCTTTATGTGATCGATAATTAGATGGCAACATCCAAGAAAACTAGTTCACAATGATAAAATTTTCTCAAGACTACAAAGAAATAAAAGGAAAAGGAAAAAAAAGGAGAACTGCATGATGGGCATACAGAATTAACCTCCAAGAACATGCTGCTGTCAAGTCCTCTGCACGTTATATTTGCAAGTCTTTAAAACTCCTTTCTGTTGGGGAAGCAGCTTTCTGCACAACAAAAACTAAAAAAAGACAAAAAGAAAGTGGAAAAGAAAACTATCTGTGATGCAGAATGTAAAAATCAAAACAAGATGGAAAAATCAGGATAATGTACTAACATTGTACATATGCATCAGCATAGTCTTCAAACTCCCTTGTGGTCCTTGTGGATAATGAACTGACACTGTGCGCATGCATCAGTGTAGTCTTCAAACTCCTTTGTGTCATTTTTTGTGCAACAACAGAAGCATACTAATGAACCTTTGCTTGCAAATACACTTGCATAAATGGTAAGTAGTTACTGACAAATACATCACCTAGGTGAATCTTTTGTCAAGCAAGTAGAATTACCTTGAATGAGGATTACACCAGAATTCAAATAAAATTTGAGGTGTTTGTCTTTGTAGTTTGTACTTGTTTACAATCTTGAATCTGACTCTTAAATTAATATTGGATGTTATTCAAAATAATAGCATGGAATAAAAATCAATTTGAGAAAGATCTATCGAGAAAGAGAGATTGAAACTCTCTCTCTCTCAAGATCAGTATACACGTTGGGAAAAAAATATATGAGAATCAAAATTGATCTTAACATATCTGCATAATAACATAGAGCACAAAGGATCACATATAAAGGGAATATTTAATAAAACAAAAGTATCAAAATAAATGCCAAAATTTTACAATATGAATAAAAGTATTTGATTTCTCATAAATGCTTTTCCAAACCAAATTTGAGCTAATAGTTACTAACACAGTGACATATTGGATTACTATTCGATCAACTTTCACCCCCATACACATGGTAGGTTTGCTACTAGAAAAATGGATAAACACACTTCTTCCTTGCACTCAAATATTGACATTTAGCATGTTTGCATGAAAGTTGAAGGCTCATGGCATGCTAATATACACTTCATTAGAGCATTTTTCATTATCTACTAAAAAGATCATGCAGCTGAATGTGTTTTCATTAACATAAAATAAACAGAAAATCAATATGCAGCTCGCATACAAGGTATAGGGAAAAGCGTTGCTTGTTCAAAGATAGAAATTCCAGTGCAAACCATCACCATAAATATTGGTGGATCTTTTGCACAAACTCAACACATAGGCTCCCAATTGATTTTATTATCACATACAACACGGTTAAAACATGCCCAAATGTCCAAAACGGCTTGCATATGAAAAGAAAACAAGGAGATATGTAACCCTTGATATGTCAATCATATTCTCCTAAACCTGCTACCTTTTTAAAGGAACCACTAACACTTTTTCAGAATTCCTTTAAGACCCCTGCATGACTAGTTGTCAAGTGAGTACCTATCTATTTCTATGCACAGTGCCACAGACTAGCTACAATAATTTAGCAGAAATAATGAGTCTTAGAATGGAAATAGTAAAGCAGAGGAATCAGGACTAAGAAAGAGTTAAGATAGAAAATCAAAGCCCAACAGAAAAATATAAAGAATAAAACAAGTGAATGTTTTTATCCGAAAAGCGGCAAATCAAAAAAGTATTTAAGTGACAAATAAGTATTTTCCAACGTTTAAAAAAGAGGAAGCACAACTGCGCAAGGCGAAGCATTAGACCCTTTTATGAAGCAATGCGTAAGCCTCAAAGCGTGAGGCGTAAGCCTGATGAGCTAAGTATATTTTAATTTATAAATATTATAAAACATATATAGAAGTATAAAAATTTAATATAGATACATTCAAGTCTTGATTAGTAAATAAGAATTAAATATGCTAAGTACTAATGCAAGTCATAATAAATTAAGCTGCACTTATACTATAAGATATGTATCTTATTTTTAGTCAAACAATCTTTTATATCCTCCTACCTTGTGTGAAGTGTGTGCCCCAAAAGAGAAGCGCTTCATGTAGCGTGAAGCACACACTTTAGTTATGGTTAAAGTGATGAAGCGGATGCTTCAAGGGATAAATAGCTTCACTTATCAGTTTCGAAGCGATTACCCTGCAAAAAGTTTTGAACCGAGTTTCATAAAGCTTTTTCAAACACTACTATTTTCATTATATGTATGAAGAGGTCCTATCTCCATGAAGGGTCAAATTACAACCCTAAAAACAGAAAGAATTTTTTTTAATGACAATATATTGGTATATTTATGTGTACACTTGTATATTCAGGCATCTCAGACGATATCTTCCCCAAGAGTATCTTCACTGAGGATCATAGTGCAAGGATAACTAAAATGAAGTCATCACGGATGCCTACTTGAGAAATAAATAACAAGCAAATAAAGCAGATAATTAAAACCAAGTATGAACTACTTGTTAACCAAGGACAGTTTCGAGCTTGGAAGATAAGCTATGTAAGCGAGAAAGATAATAGATAAATTGAAGGATTTATTTAGTAGCAAGGGACTAAGTGAGATAAACTTTGTAACCGAGAAAGATAATAGATAAATTGAAGGATTTTTTTTAGTAGCAAGGGACTAAAGTAAGAGTAATGCACTTAAGGATCTTGAACTTGGAATTGGGAAGATGAACTAGTAATTGATAATGTGAAGCATACATCAGAAGTGGTCAACAAAGAAAAGGATTTACATGTCTATCTCAATAGACGCACAGAATCAGATGGTTTAGTTTTACCACATAGCTCGTTAACTGCTAGATGGTGAGCAATATTATCAGGAAAAACAACCTATATTGATAAACACACATCAAAAGGACCAATGATATAAGGCCTAAAATATGTAATCCAATCATAATGCCCATAAAATTCTTATTCAATTTAGAGGAATAAAAATTCAGAAACCTTGTGAGTCCTTTCAGCAATTTTTCAATAAAAAACCAGTATCAACATAAACAATTGATGTGAGGTCAATAGCCAAATGTCCATTTCTACGTCATAATAAATTATCGTCTTAGATGTCCAACTACTATTTTCCAGAATAGCCACAGTTTTTTCAATCAGATCTCGCTGATACCACTATAGATATATTCCACAGCATAATTGATAAATGATCATCCTTTGTACCCAGTCTAATGTCATAAGTTCATATTGATAAAAATTATGACAAAATAGTTCACTTATAGGCCATTGTTTAGGAGGCACAGCTAAAGTCTTGAGGTAGTCTCGTGCACGAAGCCATTTTCCTCAGATGATGAACTACAATGCCATTAAATTATCAAACATGCTTTAGCTATAAGTGGGCTATAGATTTACAAATAGGACAAAGAACTAGAAATTTTTGAAGGATCTGGACTACTGATAAATTCTTGGTTCAAACAATTTGGATTCTTACTCCAAATAAATTTGACAAAGTTTAGCAGAAAAGAAGTCAGGGTTTACAGCATCAGAACAGAAAGACCAACCTGATATATCAACTGACAGAAATGAGTTGCTCTAAAGTCACAGAATAAAGTAAAATTACCAGATGAACGAATTGAGTCCCTGGAAAAACACTCTACTGAACCTGATATTGATAAAGTGAAGAAGCTCCTCTGCTCCAAAGAAATCCCTGAAAAGGAATAAATTTTACCCCTAGTTGAAAATTTGCAGTATAAATGACCACAATTATCAAGGATCAAGTGTCCTAAAGGGCATGAATAAAAAAAACAACTCTTTTTGAAACCATTGATCAGCATACAAGAGATTTTGAAGTTCCTGAACTATTCAAAATAATAATTTCTAGGAAAAGAATAAACAAAACATATTTTTGAAAACTTTCAAAGCTATAAGACTAGAGGCAAAATGTGCTTTCCACCACGCATTACATAAACATCTACAACTATAAATCGTCCGCAAAAGCTACTACCCTTGCAGTGATAGTGATATTAGTAAACTACTCAAATTAATTCATATGAACACAGAATGCCTGTAGAGAATGCTACTGGTTATGAAATATTGAAAATAACGGATTACAAGGTTCATAGAGCTTCTAAAAGTCAAGCAGGCTTCAGTTGAAATCCAAAGGAGCTAAATGCTGGTCTAACAGTAGCGTAACATGATAGGATTTGATATGGAGACTGTGTATTATAGTCTCCTCACAATCATATAGAATTTCTGTTGTTTAGCTCTGGAGCTCGCACCATGCAACAATGCAATATCCAATAGTAAATGTTTTAGTCTTCTGCCCTTAATCCAGAATCTTACATGAACAACGATTTTTGACAGTTAGTCCTTGGTAGCACCAGGTTAAGCCATACATCCAAGCAAGTTGTTCATGAACAAACCACTCTGACTTCAACTCAGTAAAACATGTTCGCCTTTTTAATCTAACTCATCAAGGAGCTCCAGATTGATCTTTAAACCAGCTTTGCTTATCTAATATTTATTAAGCTCAGCTATATTAATCAGTAACAGAGTTCCATAACAATTCCAAGGAATATTCAAAAAAACCTATTAACATTTTCCTAAAAGCATGTGGTAAGGTAATACAAACAATGAAGTTTTATCTCAAGTTTCGTGATCAGCCAAGGAATTATTTTGTTTCATGCAGCTGTGTTGAGGAACATTTCCATTGTTTACTGTCAAGATGTTTGGAACTTGAAGATTTCACTATTGAATTTTGTAAAAACCGGTATAAACTTTAGCTGGACTATAAATAGGCCCAGAGAACAACTTCGAAATTCAGCTTTTTCTAATGAAGAAATCATTAATAATTTTTGCTTAATCTCATTGTTTCTCCAGCTTTATAGTGTTAACAGTGTTAACTGAAGTCTCCATAATTTAGTCTCTTAAAGACAGAAGAACACGGAGCTAACTTCGACAAGAGTAAGCAAAGTGAAAGGTATATTGCCATCAATCTACCTCAAAAACATGAAGAAAGCCAAATTGATATGCCATAGACATGTGCCTTGGATAGAAACTAATGATTAATATTTTAACATCAAAGATTTGAGGTCTTAAATTAGATTGGAAGTGATCAGCAATAGAGGTTCTGAAGTAAAACTAGTCCAGTTTTGGGAACCTAATCCAACATGCAAATCAATGCGTGGGAGATATTATCCTGCCCTAAGTGATGTTAAATGCAAAACATGATGTGACGACACATTTGTGGCACTGTATTAAAGCACTAAGGTCCATAAGGTTCACATGACTCACCAAGTAGTGTGATACTTCACTTTGATCAAACGATAAAAATAGTCAACAAATAGGAGCGCACAAATCCAATACTCGAAACACCATTGTCGAAAATAGGCACCCAACACGGGACATGCAGATCAAGGTAGATATCCTCGCTTTCATCCTACTAAGAAGTTCTGTTGATTACAAGCGATTAATCAGAGTTATGAAATACCAAAATATTACTACAAACTGAATCATTTTAGAAAATTCCTAGTAAGTTGAAAATGACACATGAGAAGTTATTCTTAAGTACTTGGACAATATCACACTACAATTTCTATTAACTGTTTTCAACTTAAATGTTTGTCATACAAAGTACGAATTAGGAGAATAGGTATTTATTAAGGAACAATGCTCCTCCTGATTTATGTTATCAGAAGTTAAGGTCTGTAGCATCCTGCAGAGAGAAGGGTTACAGTCTCTCACTGGCTAATATGACATCACGATATTAGAGATAAATGTCTAAGACATACTTCCAACAATAAATTTGTCTCTTTCAACATATATGCCCAAGAAGCTAAGATACCAAGGCAGTGGTATAAGGGAAAAGCACAAATGTGTATATATATTCTAGATTGCTCTTTGAAACGTCTAAATGCTAATTCATTTATAAGCTCAGGTTCAGGTTTAGTAATGGCCCAATTATTAAACAGGTTTTGTTTTGGGTTGAAAGGACTTCGCTGGTCCACATCTAGTATTCCCCATATTGATTTTTGTCCCCAAACATCCTTGTAACCCACTGTTCTCAAGGACCAGTTTTGATGACATGTCACATTTCCCCACTGATTGAACATTTTGTTAGAAGATACAAACAAATTGGATTCAGCAACATATAATGGTGCTCACAGAAATACGGTCATTGCCTCATTGGGCATTTATTTATGTCCCCTTCCAAAATGTCATCTAATACACATGAATCCTCGACCATGAACCTCATTTTACTTGTCTGCCATGC